CGCGAAGGGAGGGTCGCGGACTCTCGCGATCACTGGCAGCAATCGGCCGTGATGGGGCGGGGCGTGTATGGCAGCTGTTTCCAGTAAGCGGTACCAACTGTCTACTTCCACGGGATTCGTCATCCCCCGGAAGCTACGTTGGTAAGGCTTCGGATGATTGGGCCTGACCCCAATCCCGCAGTCCATGGGGGCCTTCTCAGGTAAGCCTTAATGGAAGATACTCGGAAGGAAAACTAGATAGATTTCCTCTGTGTCGGACCATTATGGGTTCCACCAAGCTCTGCCCGAGACAGGCAACCTAAACCTGGAAAACATGGCCGAAAGCACTATTGTCAGGTCCTACCAGTAGATTTTTATTAACTGATACTATGGAGACTAGTTCCCGGCAACAGTGGTCGCTCGGGTAATTGGGAAAGACTCGTAGTGACAGTGGTCGATGACCTTAATGTTAGGCAAGAGACACCTTTTTCCAGGGTCCTGGCAGGTAAGCTGCGTCCCAACAGCTTGCGTACTGACCTGCTAAGCCGATAGAGTTTTGGAAAGTTAATTTGTTGCCATCAACAGTCTAACTCCACAGGACTTTGTCACCCCTGGGAATACCATTGGTAAACCTTCGGGTCCAGCTAATTGGGCCTCATCCCAATTCCACGTTCATGGTAACCGTGTTTGTTGGCCCTTCGTGGTGGGTACAAGCATGTTCAATTATTTTCCCTCTGTGCTGTCCTGCTTGCCTTCTTTCGTGCAACGGGTGGTAATTATCTGTTCCCACTAGAGGAGTCAAAATAACTGTTTCAAAAAGGATAAGTTTGTTAAAAAATTGAAAGCCAATTAGTATATATTATTGTATACTATATGTACACATGCTTGTTTATTTTTCACTTTTTTGAACATCTGTCAATATTATTTACGATAGATTGTTCGCTCGGAAGTTCATTAACTTAATTAAAACAAAAAGTTATCTTTTATCACATGACAATTCTTTTTATTTGTCCAAATACACGAGGAAATTTTCAGGATTCAAATTCCTTAAATCACACAACAGAAGTAAGCGCAAAACACAAATACCATTTGTCGAAACCTCTGCATTTAAGTTCCTTTAACAATAATACAATACAATCCCTTAATTAATCACAATTTATCTAACCAATCATCTCCGAGTACAATAGATTCTATCCAAAAAATATACTTTCATCGTTAAACAACAAATTTTTTGTTAGTTAATAATTACCATAAATTATTGTGCAAGAAGGGAAGCAGGTTCTCTGCCACGAGCTCTTGTTAATGTCTGAGGCTGTGTCTCAGCGGGAAAGCGTCTTCACGATGGCCTTCAAGTGCGGAGTTACAACGCTTACCCATGCATAAGTCGTGAATCCTCTTAAAGGGAACGATAAAAAGATTTTCGTCGTAAGTTCACGGGATCGCTGGTAAGCACTTTACATTTTCACGGGTGAAGATCGATGTAAATGAGGCCGTGGAGCGTTTACAGCGTGGCGCGTCGGTATATTGGTGCGTGTGAGTCGACGCGCGCCGCTCCAGGGTCCCAAGTAAATTAGTTTAGTTTATAATTTCCACACACCCGCCCCGGCGCTCATGAGCATGAATGAACTGCTGTTTCGGCGTCAGACTGGCGTCGCTCCGACGCTAAACGATGCCCGACATCACTGACGTATGTATGTGCTGCCTGTAAGTTCACTCGAGTTATGAGTGCATTATGCCTCTGACACGCTACCTTATAAGGTTACTCGCGACTCAAACACGAGGACAACGAAAAAAATAACAGCGAACTCCTTACCGATCATATCTAAGGCACGTAAGGATTTGCGGCAAAATGCAGCAGAGGCGATCGTTTTAAAAGAATAGAGACGCAAAAACGTTTTTCGTTGTCTCGAAAAAAGGAAGCTAAAAGAAATTTGTGTTTGTATTCCTTCAAACCAATCTCTCCAGCGGTCAACAAAATCATTAAAATTTTTAAGTTACATTGAACTGCTTCTTCGCCAAATCGGTTAATTCTAGTTTTTGAATTTTTTACAATTTTATCGTCAAAAGGTTTGATTCGCTCTTAACTTTTTATATTTGAAATAAATTTCTCTAATATTGGGTCTAGGATCATGACATGACAAAAAGTTGTTCAACTATGCAAGAATTACAATAATAATGAAGATTGCTTCAAAGGTGTACCACCATTTTACATATTTGTTAGATTAAAATTATATCTGCGATAATAAAATAAAATAAATTTTATAATGTTTGTTTGATTTTCCATTTACAGGAAGATTTAA